GAAAAATTTTTAATATAAAATTAAAAATAAAATTAAGAATAAATTGGAAAGAATCAAATTAAAAATATATCATAAAAGTTGCAAAAATTACATTTTTTATTTAAAATTACTGATTATCACACGTGAATTACAAATATCTAATGAAAAGTTTCGAAGTTTTTTTTATTAAAATTTTAAAATCTCTTCAGTCTATAATCGCGTCACAAAAAAAGGAGGCATCTTCATAATCATCATCTTCGCTCTTACTGGCAGAATTATTTATATCATCGTCTTGGGAATTGTCATTGTCTTCCACTGTAAACTGGTATTATTTTCCAAACAAGAACTATTCAATAAGCTGGGTAACTCCGATGGAAGAGCGCCCGCTTTGTATGCCAGAGATACCAGGTTCGATTCTTAGCGCCTACAACTTGTTTTTATTTTTATTTATATAGCGAAAAGGATTAATATTTAATTTTACATTAATATTTTAAATTATTTACCCTTCCTCATAATCATTTTACTACAGTTATAAAATATAATTTGTAATTATATGAATATCCCTTCGTTGAAAAATTGGGCGGGGGGAGGGTGGAGCGGGGTCGGTTGGGTTGGGTTGTTGAGTTTGGGTTGGTTTCAAAGATTATTATAATAAATGTCCGCGTGAAGATTGTCGATAACGCGCATGTCTGCGAAAAGTAGCCGGCGCTGGCGCTAGACGCTTGTCAAATAACGCAAACACAAAACAAACATGTGACTTTAGACTGACGTCATGTTGTCCACTGCCGTCGCTTTCTATCTCTCTTGCACTTTAAACGGTCTCTCTCTAACATCAGGTATAATACTGCGATACTTTTCATTATTTTTTTATTTGTATTTTATATTTAACAATCGAATTAACGTCTGGCAAATTAATTTTAGGTTATTTTATGCTTAAATAACATAATATAAAAATTACAGACATTCGAAAATACTTTGAATTTTTTATTTAAAAAACATAAAAATTTGTGTTTGGCACATAATTAACAACAATAAAAATGTCTGGCAATAAAAAATTGCTGTCTGGTAGATCTATCTAAAGGCAAAAAATTAAAAATTACGCTTTAAAAAATTGTTTTAAAATCCAGTAATAAACGCAACCGCTACCGCCAGCCAGGTAGCCCAGACTCTAACCGAAAAAGCAAGAAAGACAGCATATCAAAAAATCAACTGACCTGAAATTCTCTCTCGAAAACGTTGCTAGCTCCTATACTATAGGTAATAAATGCCATGTTTCAATAATTTTATCAATTATCAATTAAAATAAAAAATGTTATTCCATAACTTGTACTTTTTTCACTATCTTAGAATCAAACATTTGTTCTACTGTATTAATGCAACTCCTCTTTCTGCTACATCATTGAGAACGCTAAGACGTTTGAAAAATACTAGATTATCTTGAGAGCTCCTCCTGGGTCCAAAATTCTACATTCTTATTGATAAAGTGAATGGGTAAATCAAATATATTAAATATATATGTATATTTGATACTTATTGCGAGTAGTTAAAAACCACCGGCAAAAATATCCCAATTGTAACAAGAAAAATTTAGTTTGATTCTAACATAGTGAAAAAGTTATGGAATAACAATTTTTATCTCCACGCGGTCTATAATTTAAACTTTATTGTTGTCAACATTCGATAAAGAAATATCTTGTTATGGCCTAGGCCGATAAAAAATTGTATGAGGCAAGTAATTAGTTCGATTTTTTCTCGCTAGGGGTATTGTTTTGACAAATTAATCCTTTTCTAAGAAATTAACGTACTAAACTGGTTTAATTTATTTATAATAAGCACTAATTTGTTTGTTTTATTGTTAATGTTTAATATTTTTCATTAAATTATTGTAAAATTAAATATGAATAATAAAACAAAAAGTGAGGTTAGGCAACCAAGAAAACGCACGATTCTTTTTCTACGATTTAAATTATCTTTAAGTTTTAATTTGCTTTAAGTTTTTAGTGAAATTAAATGTTGAACACAGCTTAAACATTCCAAACTACCTATTCTTTAAATAAAAATCCAAACAAATTAAAATTAGATACCTACCTATTTAATAAACAATTAATTGAATTCAATGTAATAGCAAAAATCCATTTCTACTTAAATCATGTAGCTAGGTATTGTCAAAGTATTACTGCTTCTAAAAGCAATAATAATTATTGTACATTTAATTTAATCTTTAGCTAATAAATAAATGAGATTCTAAAAAAGTGAGGTTAGGTTGCTTTGATGTTGAATTAAATTGACCTATATAAAGTGCTTTGAAGATAAAATGTTGTATGCCATTCGGCCAAGAAGTGCCTTTTTGTGCTTCGCTCAATTGTAAAAAACCTTGAGCTTAGCACAAAAAGCCTTACTTCTTAACCTAATGACATAAATGACTATTATTTTAATTGAAAAATTATAGAAACATTACTCTAAATCACCTAATAGTCAAGTGTAAATAGAATATTTATTATTTTTTAAGAAAATGATTATTTTTTTTGTCATTACTCAGGTAAAGAAAAAATTTCGAATAAAAAAAAAATTAAATATAGAAAAAAACCGTTTTTTTCACGATTATTGATATTTCGTAAAAATTGTATTGTTTTACCGGAGAATACTCGATAAAATATGATATTTCATGTTTTTGAGACAATATTTTGTGATAGAGTATGAAAAACTATCATTTACTATTTGAGTTGAACTTTAACCTCAAATAACTTTTAAAAGAGGCGACTATATTTCTACAACTCACTGTTTCTTTAAAACGCAATAAAATTCCAAACAAAAAAATGTATTTTTCCCGTGTTATTTAAATGGAAAATAAAAAATCGCGATGAGCCACCTCTTAATATTGATACTAACAGCTCAAACTTCATCAGAATTTTTTTTTCGTCATCTTGGACGATATTTTTATGGTAGCTAAAGAAAAGAAAATTAAAAGTTTTTTTTTGGTCCACCCTAATATATATATATATATATATATATATATATATATATATATGTATATATCAACGGGTTTAAGGCTAAACGGCACAAACGCCAAAATTTAAAAAAAAATTGTTACAGCTCTAGCTAGAGAATTTAATTCTCTATCAACCTGTACTTCTAGCAATTTTTCGAAAAATTTGGCGCTTGTGCTATTTTGCATTAAACCCGTCGTTATAAATGCATTTCCTTTTGAAATATGGGGCAAAACACCTATTTTTGCTATTTTGACTTAAACCCATCGAAAAATACATTTATTTCTATATAAAAATAATTTTAAAAGTTGTATTGACCCTCTCCAATTAATCCACTAAGTAGTAGACCGAGCACCGCTGCAATAGGTATACTATAGTAGCTGCTCGCCGCACGGTCCCTACGCGCTTCAACCCTTATTTTTTTCGACTTCTTCTTGGGATCCCATCTTTATATTACATCAAAATTTAGGGAATTGAAAAAGCTTTCTTTTGATATTAATTTTAAAAAAATCAAATGTGTCGCATTTCGAGAAAAAAACAAATATATTTTTAAAATCGTTTTTTTATAACCAAAAAATTTTTTCTCGCTTTCGAGACCATTTTTTTATCGTAAAGCGTGGAAAAAATGCTATACGATATGTTGATTATCAATTTAAAAAAAAATTATTATATACATGAATATTTCGACGTCTTTTAAGCGCACGAGAAAAAATATAAATTTTCAGGCCCCTGTATCTCTGCAACCCGCTAATCCTTTTTGCCCCCCATTTGGAAAATTAAGGTAGTCCAATAGGACAATGATTTGGCAAAGTTTTGTTAAAATCGGAGAAAACATCATTTTTAGGTGGGAACACTTGAGGTGTTTTGCCCCATATACAACTTTTTTGACTCATTCATGTGCGCTGGAAATGCGTCGGCACACGTGCGCTTTAAATGCGCCGGCACACGTGCCTGCATGAGACGCACATGTAAGCGCATCTGTGTAGTGATCTGCGCGCACGCGTGCCGTTTAAAGACGCACGCGTGCACTCACTGTGCGCGCATCGTGACTACATTTTGCTATCTGCTTTTTTATTCGATGAGTTTCATATTATCCACTCAAGGATAGCCGATCCATCTACTTCAGCAGATAACATAAAACTGACACGTAACTTAACGTATCCAAAAGTTGGGTCCGGCTCAACTTAAGGGAATACGTTTCTTACGTGAGCCAATCACATGCCCAGTAAAACGATATAGCGCTATCTTGTTATTTCACTTTTATAGATAGAGCCAATCACATGCCCAGTAAAACGATATAGGGCTATCTTGTTGTTTCACTTTTATAGATAGATAGGCAACCCAGTCTACATCGATGTCTACATTGCGCGTGCTTGTATATTACGTTTTTTGTCTGTATTAAGTTAATGTAAACAGACAAATTAACAGACGTAGGTTTCTTAAGTTAAGTTAAGTTACGCATATTAAGTGGATGTGAATGAGCTTTTAACAAGTAACCAAATTTTCAGATTATTCCTATGTACCGTTCTCCGTAAACGTCTAACGTACCATCGACCATCAATCACCCTGTATATATACTATATGTATGTTACATTTTATTTACAATAATAAAAATAAATAAACTTTGTTTCATGCATGTGATAAATTACCAAATAATATAAAATATATAATATAACAGTAAAAACAATTTACCATATGAAAATACAGTCTCTCAAAAGATAATAATTAATACACTATTAGGAGAGCTTTTTTAAAAGCGTCCTACATTTTTTTCAATTTATTTCAACACCGGAAACATAAGAAACTATATAAATGCAATCTTTAAAGAAGCAGCTGGGACCATAGACTGGGATAAACATTTAATGGGCTTTTAAATTTTTAACAATAAATAACCATTAATAAACTAGATCTGCTAGTCATTTTAAACCATCATCAACTTGTTGCGTAAAGGGACACAAACTGACTAATTCTACCCCAGAGTATAAATAAATAAATAATACAAAGTAAAACCACATGTGCACATATATATTTTACCTTTTCCATGTTATGTTTTCCACCCAAATTTGAAATTTTTCGCTGTAACTCCGATATTTCAGTAACTGATTTTTTTTCCAATTGCTTTTTTGCTAAATTACTCTTTTGTTTTTCCATGGCTTTTTGCAACTCACTTTTTTGATCCAGTACATTCTTTCCTCTAAAATTTATTATATTTTATATTTTAATCAATATATAAGATATATAGAATATATGGAAATGATAAAATAAATTTTTAATTTGGTGTAGCAAACGGGATTATAATTAGTTTTAATTTAAAATAGGTAATGAAAATTATTGGAGATGATTGTTTATGTGCACAACTGTCGTAAATATTTATAAAAAGGAATAATAAATAATGTAATGAAAGATCCTTTGCAGAGTACCTACACCTGATTTCAATCCTTGCATACAGTGAATTGACCATATGCAAAGATTAAAATCAGGTGGTTTCAATTGTAAATTAGTTCGAAATTGTCATTCATTTACTTTTATATTTAAATTGTTTTCCGTAACTAAAAATTACTCAAATATTAAAGTGAATAAATTACAATTACTTAACAGAGGATTTAAGATATAATTATTTTTGAAGCAAATTTATTGAATTTTACAAATTTGGTTCAAAAATTATTATTTTTTTAAACTCTTGCCAAGTAATTGTCATTTATTCACTTTAATATTTGAGTGGTTTTCAGTTACTTAAATATTAAAGTCAATGAATGACAATTACTAAATTTAAAAAATAATCATTTTGGAATTACAATTGTGGACCAAACATGGAAAAACCGATAAATCCATTTTAACATTTTAAGAGTATAGTACCGATTCTTACTAATTTTGGTAAACTCATTTGACTTGAGCACAGTATTTTAAGAAAAAACTGAAACAGAGACAACCCAACAGGAGTAACATTAAATATTTGGAGGACTCGGCTGTACACATTTTTGGCCAATATCTAGGAATAAGTTAAAATGGATTTATCGGCTTTTGCATGTTACTCCATAACTACTAACTTAAAAAAAAAAATAATTTTGTAATAATTACTAAACTTAAAAAGGAATCATTTTAGAACTAAATTTATTTAATTTTTCTACAAATGGGATACCTGATTTTAGTCCTTGCATATGGTCAATTAATTAAAAAGTTTGAATGTATATTACTTTTAATTAATTCGAAATTAAGAGTTAATTACAATTACAAACTTTAAAATTAAAAATTTGTCATTTATTATTTAAAATGTTACACGTCTTTATCCACTTGAGACATAATAATTATATCATAATTATGTTATTTATTTATTTTATTTAAATTTTATTATTATTTATTTTAATATTGCTAATGAAGCCAAAAATATGTGTTATAATTTTAGATAAATAACAGAATTTGATTTTTATAAAGAAATTTTTTTATAAAATAAATTGTTTTTCGAATTAATTTTGTTTTTTTTAACGTAATTTTACATAATATGGACGTATTAAACTGGACGTCTAGGGAACGTCCATATAAAGTACACTGTATGTATACTGACATTCAATGGACGTCCATTAACCTACGTAAGATGGACGTCCAAATCTGTGCCAAACGGACATTCAATGGACATCCTTGGAACGTCCGGCACACTTTAATGGACGTCCTTTGGATATCCCTACGAACAGATACGGATGTCCATCGGATATACAATGTACGTTTTTGTGCCGTATGGGTTCTGAGGTGTTTCTTTAAATAAACTTATAGTTACTATATAGTAAATTAATTTAACCAAACTGTCATGGTCATTGTTTTGTTTGATATTTTTGTAAAATGTATTTAGTATGGTAGCCGTTATCGACCGCAGGAGTCCTAAATTAGACTTTGAACATCCATCTTATTGTTTCTTGTCTTGGATGGACAAAGCGTAAACTCCATGGACGTACATTCAAAGTCCATGGACGTAGGTACTTAGTTAGAACCTTTAATGGACGTACAATGGACGTAGTGTGCTGTGTGGGAATACAAAGTAGGTAAGTGGATTTTACCAGTCGAGGACGATTTTGTGCCGGAGCGTGCGAGGGCTGGCAATATAGTCCGAGACTAGTCAAAACTTAACTCCTGCGTGGTGTATAACGTTTTATCTTCTCCCACAGATAGATCTCATGTAATAAAAATACTTTTTTGATCAATTTATTTTGACACTAACACTAAGTAATTTCTTAAAACTTTGTTTATCGATGAAAGTAAGTAGCAACAAGCATTTCACGGTAAATTCAACTTACCTGCTATAACACAATGTAAAAATAGCCTAGTTACCATAGTGGAAGCAGATAAAAATATTTTGATAAAAGGTTTGCAATCTTAAAACGTTTTCGGTTAATTTGACATGTGTCCACTACATTATAATTTCCGGTAATGCGCCCTTTCAAAATAGCGAGAGATTTAAATCAGTCAGTTATATATTGCTCACCCTGTATGGTTAATAAATTTAAACAACAAAATAGTAGGTCGCTGAAGTCGAATCTGATTACTATTTTAAATGATTAATAATAAAGTTTTTGCCACTACCTATAGATAAGTATGTATCTCATAAAATTTTAATTAAATAATGTGTTTTGGATCATAAACTTACATTTTTTTATTAAAAAGCAACTCCTTGTGTAAATTTTGTCTTTCACTGTTTTCTCGAACTGGATTTGGCGGTTTTTTAGGTTTAATAAGACCTTCTTCAGATAAATTTGGATTTGAATTCATTTTATTTTTCAAAACCATCCAGGCAAAGTGATCATCAACTGCAACCATAAACATATTTACATTAAAAACGCTTATAAATATTTCTTTTGCTTAACTAAAGTTTAATTAAATAAAATTCAAAAAAAGCTTTCCCCGGTGTTTAAAGACACATGCTAAATAGAAAATTATGGTTTCAGGCCTAAATTTTACAAAACTACAACTAATTTTAAACTTATTAAAATTATTATTATTATTATAATTATTATTATTATTAGAAATTGTGTTAATTTAACAACCTAAAAAATTTTAAGTGCCAAAAGCCATTAAAAGTGAATTTAGCCAAGAATTTAGTAAACAATTCGAGGTTAAAATGGTCTCGTGTAAATGTTGTAATAAAGATATAGATTAGAGCAAAGCAGTTGGCTGCTGGATGTGCAAATCTACATTTGATACGTCTTGTTTAAATCTACATGATGTTAAATTAAACTTTAAAAGAGTCTATAAATGCAATTCAGGGCCAAACTATAACTCAGTCTAATTCTGTTGAAGCTCCAACAAACTTTAAAGAAATAGTTGAAGAAGTAAATGATAGTCGACGTAGAAAAAATAACGTTATAATTTATAATATGCCTGAAAATGTGGATAATCCAGAGGATATTCTTAGTGCAGTACTATCCGATGCAAACATAAACTCTATTAAAAAATTTAGATTAGGTAAAAAGGCTGAAAATATTAATAAAGCTAGGCCTTTAAAGATTGTTTTTGAATTTAAAGCCGATGCTGAGTACATCTTACAGCACTCAAAAAGCTCCGTGATTGTGAACGATTTGATAATATATATATATTGGGTACGATTTGACTGTTCGTCAAAGGAAGTATAAAAGAAAAATTTAGGATGAGTTCAAAGTCCACAAAGATGGTGGAGAATCAATTAGACACATTTATAATAATGGAATACCTAAAATAGTTAAGGACTTAAACCAAAAAACAACCACACTTCCAACAGCAATTAAATGTATTGAAAGTTTTATTATCAAAATCCTCGTGGCCTAAATACGAAAACAGCTATTTTCTTTAACAATCTCAGTGCGACAAATTATGATATTATCCTACTAAATGATTCGGATGAACTTCGGATGAACTTTTTAATTCTAATTACTCGGTATATAGATGTAACAGTAAATTTACTAAAGTTGGAGTTGTTTTATTGGCTGTTAATAATAAATATATTTCAAATGAGATCGTACACAACTTTCCGCCGCTAAACATTGACATAGTAGCAGTAAAAATAAAAAACGATGGGAAAAACTTTAATATTTATCTTTTGTATATACCACCATATACGTCAATTCACGATTACTTAATAATGTTTGAATTTTTGGAAAGTGTTATTGACTTCGAAAAAAATAATATTATCGTTAGAGATTTTAACAACCCAGAATTAAATGAATTTTATATAAATAATGCATCTATAAATTGCGTAATTAAGTTCAATAATTTTTTAAACTTCTGTAATCTCTCACAAGATAACCCAGATAACATTTATGACCAGAGCTGGGCGGTACTTAAGTACAAGTACTTGAAAAAGTACTTAGAGTACATTTTAGGGTACTTTGTACTTGATACTTAAGTACTTCTTTGTATATAACAATTATGACATCATTTAAGACATCAACGTGAAATCATTGCTGATTCATTCAGTGATGTCACTGTGGCACGCATATGTGTTCCCCTTTTGATAGGCAACATGATATCCTTAATGAGTCACACGATGAATTCGTTGTGACATCAACGTGAAATCATTGCTGATTCATTCAGTGATGTCACTGTGTTGCACTTTTGATGAGCAATGTGAGATCCTTAATGAGTCACACGATGAATTCATTATGAAATCAAAGGGATGTCATTAATGATTTTACTTAAGGGACTAAAAACGTTAAAATTAATTAAAATACCTAAATATTTATTTTCTTAAATAAAATATAAAATATTTAAAACAAGTTTTTATTAAAATTTAAGAAGTATCTTGCATCTGATTATTAATTTTTAATAAATAAAAAATGTTTAAAATAAAAATAAATAAATAAAATAAACTCGATAGATATGCTAATTATTAATAATTATATAATTATTAGCATATTTCAAATTAATAATCAGATGCAAGATACTTTTAAAATTTTAATAAAAACTTGTTTTAAATATTTTATATTTTATTTAAGAAAATAAATATTTAGGTATTTTAATTAATTTTAACTTTTTAGTCCCTTAAGTAAAATCATTAATGTCATTGATTTCATAATGAATTATAATCACATGCAAGTTAATTTTTGGTACAGTAAGCGCATTGCTGAATTAATTGCTATCATTTAAAATTTCTTTATTTTTATTGAGCAATAACTTTCTGTAAGTTTGTTTTGCTCCCCTTAATAATTCGAAATATTATATCATTCGAGAAAACACTTTTTGCCCCTTGGCCTTTCTGGTACAGCTTTAGATCTAAAGCAGCTTCTGTAATAAAAAATGATCTGATTATATCGCCCGGGCCTCTTAATGCTAAAGCCGGATAACTCAACTTTCGTGATAAACAAAAAAGCCTTAACCAAGTATAATTAATAAATTAATTATAAAAATATATTTAAAAATACGATAACTTTTAAGCCTTGGTAAGATAAATCCATTTCCAAAACTTGGCAACACTTATGGTATATACCATGGCAACACTGTTATATAACACAGCACAGAAATATGTCAGAAATGTTTCTTAGATATAACATTGCAACATTAGAAATATTGCAGTGGTATTGCAAAATGTTGCCGAAATATCTCTGATATGTTTCAGACTTATTAAAATGTCCGCCCTTGGAAACATTTCTTTGTAATGTTTCAGAAATATTACCTGGAAATATTTCATTGATATTGCAAAATGCTGTTGAAATATTTTTGATATTTTTCAGGCTTATTAAAATGGAAATATTTTTTATGGTGTTTACAAAATATTACCTGAAATATTGCTGGAATATTAAATAAAATCTCAAAAACATTTATATGGTTTATTTAAAAAATCTACATTGTAAAGCTCTTTTAATTTAAATTAAAAATTAAATAAAAAAATATATGTTTACATGTTGACTTCATTCTTCTTCTAAAAAGAATATTTTATTACTTATAAGTATATAGAAGTAATTTAATTTTAAACTCACCGCTTTCTCTCTGTTAATGTGTTAGCCACTTCTCTATAATTTTATTGATTTCATCTTCATTTGATTCAGTGTAGTGAAGACAAACCACTTTTGTAAAAAGAGCAGAAAAATTTTATTTAACATAATATATTATATTCTGTCATTTAAATAATTATTATGAATATGAAGTACCTAAGCATTACTCTATAATTTTAGCATTAGCTGATAGTAAAGCAAATCAGGAAGTTTCTTTTATAGAAAGATGGGCACCTTCCCTATACCTTCTATACAAAATTTAATAAGTAAAATTAAACACACTTCTCAAGAGAACACCCATAGAATGTGGCTCTATTTTTTTATTTGTTTGTATTCTATTGGAAACGTTATGCAGATCTCGAGCCAAAGCAATGGATCTAGAATTGCATACATAGGTAGAATGTTTCCATTGGAATAAAGACAAATTAAAAAATAGAGCCAATTTCCATGGGCCACGAGACTTTATGTTCGGATGAAATTGTTTAAGGCAGGAAAAATATCCCTGAAGGAGTTCAGGAGGTCAGGGAAATGTAATATTCATTTTAAATATCTCTTTAATTTACTTACTTAAGATTACTTTGTGAAGTATGAGTTCTTTAAAACCCTTTTTGTTTTTTTTTAAACAGCAAATGTGGACTGTACAGCTAGGTACTTCATTTTTCACCAAATGATTTAAAATTTTTGTAGTGGCATCATTTACAGAAGTCAGTGGCGGCTGGTGGATTTTAAGTATACCAATATCTCACTTATTAGACATGGGACCCACACCAAATTTATAATAGTTTATATTGACATTAAATAAACAAGTTCGGCGCAAACAGAATTTAAATTGAAGTTTGCGAAAAAAAGTTAGTTTTTCCTGTCGCCTACCCTGCCTCCAGGCCCCCCTATTTGAGATAATTCAAATTAAAGTGGTGCAATTTATTATCTACTATAATTTATCGACAAATTTAAAATTTTATTTAAAAAATCCAAATATTACAGTTTTTATACCATTTTAAATATTTTTTTATTTTAATAAAATAAATAATAAAAATTTAAAATCGATTAAAATCTGTAATATTTGGATTTTTTGAATAAAATTTTAAATTTGTCGATAAATTATAGTAGATAATAAATTGCACCACTTTAATTTGAATTATCTCAAATAGGGGGGCCTGGAGGCAGGGTAGGCGACAGGAAAATCTAACTTTTTTTCGCAAACTTCAATTTAAATTCTGTTTGCGCCGAACTTGTTTATTTAATGTCAATATAAACTATTATAAATTTGGTGTGGGTCCCATGTCTAATAACTGAGATATTGGTATACTTAAAATCCACCAGCCGCCACTGACAGAAGTGCCTTTCCCGATTCCTTTTAGGAAAATAACCTAAAACAAATATTTACCTAAGTCAATGTTATCAAAATAATAAAAATACACTTACAACATTTTTAAAGTATACAGGGTTACTAAACCCTTTTTCAATTTTATTTAAAACTGCATGTGTAAAAATATTGATCTGAATTGTTATTAAAAAATTCACAAACAAGAAAAATGTAGGTATAATATGATTAGAGTTGCCTCGGCAATGCCTCCTAAGTTAGGTTAGGAGTCCTAACCTAAATGTTTTTGAGCGTACTGGAGTGAAGTCAAAACCATAGAAAAACATTGTTAATATGTAGGTACTTACCAGAGTGGGTACTTCTTTTTTTATACGTTTTTCCTTTAAGTTTACACCATACACAATATTCTTTATTATTATTGTTATTTAGAGAACAAAAAAACCGTTACACACAAGAAAGCATAGAAAGCGTCACTTTAAGCAGTGTTGCCGGATGAATTTCATAAAAGTTCCCGACCAAA